GTGTCAGCCTGCAGACTGAAAGGTCCTGAGTTTGATTCTGGTCAAGGATGTGTACCTCAGTTGTGGGCTTCTCCCTGACCCAGGCCCTGGTAGAGGCTCATGCAGAAGGCAACCAATCAATGTGTTTCTCTCACATTGATATTTCTGTCTTTCCCCTTTTCTTCCTCTCTCTCTAAAAAAATCAATGGGAAAATGTCCTCGGGTGCGGATTAAAAAAAAGGGGGGGGAGATTTAACTATTTGCCTCTGTCTTAAGAATACTATTAGACATAATTATAGCTCCAAACATCTCCTTAGTGCTCATAATAAAGAAAGGGAGTTGTACAAGACTTACCAGCGAGATTCTTTTAAAGCTCATCCTTGAAGGGTGATGAATCAGTTTAGTTGGGTTTATCTTAGAATCAGCAGTAAAAAAACTTCCAGTGATTTAGTATTAAACTTTCAGTTATACCTCTCAAGATAATGTTGTTTGCTTATGCTATTTTTGTTTATTTTTAAAAACTTTTCTAAAACAAATACCTCATCCATTTCCAGAATCAGAATTAGAGACCTTTGTTAGAAGGAACACTTCTGGGTCATCCTTCTTATTTTAGTCTCTGTCCCACCTGTGCATGAATTCGTGCACCAGGACTCTAGTAGGTTATAAAGTGTTCCCTCCAAAAATTCCAGTGCCCACCTGGCCCCCATACATAGTTATTACAATATTTTTAACTATATTTTCTATGCTTTATCTTACTTCCCCATGCCTATTTTGTAACTATCAATTAGTACTTCTTAATCCCATCACCTTTTTTCACCCCTCAGCACTCCTCCCCTCTGGCATTCATCAGTCTGTTGTCTGTATCTATGTCCTTTTTATGCTACTATCCCTTTGTTTAAGTTCTCACTGAGTTCATCTATTCTTACCCTAAGTTCCTTGAACTTTCTTATAACCATTGTTTTGCACTCAGTATCTGGTAGATTCCATTTTATTTAGCTCTTTTTCTAGGGATTTCTCGTGTTCTTTCATTTGGGACATGTTTCTTGTCTCCTCATTTTGGTAGCCTCTCTGTATTTGTTTCTGTGTATTTGGTAGATCTTCTATATTTTCCAGTCGTGGTAGGTTGGCCTTATGTAGAAGGTGTCCTGTGGGTGCTACCTGAGTTAGGTGCTCCAAGAATGTCCCTTGACTCAGCAGTGCAGTTTCCCTGACTACCTGAGTTAGGTGCTCCAAGAATGTCCCTTGTGTGGGTTATGTGAACCCTCCTGTTGTAGTTGAGTCTTGATTGCTGTTGGCCCATTTGAGGGTGGCATTGACCCTCAAGTTGGTGACTATGGGGACTGACCCTGGCCATAGTCTATGAACTGCTTTGTGGGGGCTGATACCATGAAGTGGAGTTCATCCAAGCAGGGTCTGGTGCCTGCCAAGATCTCCCTTTGGGTGTGCTGCTTGTGGAGCTAATTGGTGTGGTCTGAAGCCAGTCACTGGGTGTGTTGGTTCCGGAGCCTCTTGTGAGGGACTCTGGTGCAGGTCAATATCAGATGCTACCTGTGGCTGGCCCTGGGCCACCTGTTTGGAGTCGCAGAGTGATCCACTGTTTGTGGCTGCCTCTGCTGGATCTGGATGTGCATGGGAGGGGACAAGCTGCATACTAAGTCTTGCTTCCACCAGTACAGAGCCCAGGGGCAGGTCAGCCAAAGTCCCAAGTTAACCTGAGATCTGCCTCCACCTGCTGGCTGCTTGTTGAGCTCAGTCACTGACCATAGGCAAGTTGTGCGAGATAGGTTCTCAGTGCGTCACCAGGTTGATACAGATTCAAACTCAGTGCCAATGCTGGGCCTGAGGCCATTCAGCAAAAGTCTCAGGGTACACCAAAGCCAGTTGCCACCTGCCTGGGGCCTCTGTGCCTTTATGGTGGGGCGGGGTCTCAGGGCTTTGCTAGGGTAAGGCCATCAGAGTTCATCAGGCTAAAACAGAACAAGATCTGGCTGTGTGGAGGGATGGCTCTGCACAGGAACAGTGGTGCTAGTCTTGTGTGTGAGAGAGAAATGGCCCTTGCCCTAGAACCACACAACTCAGTCTCTCCCTTTGTGTCTGCCACCCCCTGAGTCTCTCCAGATCTCCACAGCCCTCTAAGAAAGTCTGCACCATGGGCCCAGGTTGGAGACTGTGACAGACTGGCAGGGCAGGGCTTGCAGGAGTTGGCAGGGAGGCGCTAGTGCCACTCCAGGCTGATGTCATGAGAGGTAGGGGCAAGCCTAACCCTAGAACATTGGTGCCACTCGGGTGCTCAGGAAAAAAAATGGCCTTTGCTTGACAGCAACACAACTCAGTCTCATTCTGCATGACTCTGGCACTCCTCAAGTTTGCCTGAGCTTCCTCAAGAGCTCGTCAATAAATTCTGCACAAGGGGTCCAGGCTGGAGGGCAGGACAGACCTCTCTACCAGAAGCGATCCTGGCAGGGCAGCACCTCTAGGGGTCGACAGATAGGGGCTATTGCCACTCCCAGGCTGATGCCTTATGGAGGGGAATGCTTGGCCTAGGAATGATGGCGTCTGTGGATGGTGTGGGAGAGGGACCTAGCACAGGGACATTTGCCGCTGTCTCTCCAGCCCTCTGCTCACAGCCATGCCATTCAATCTCTTCTAGTATGACTCCTGTCCTCTCCAGAATGCTGATCCTCCACTAGAGCCCAATGTGAATGCTGCGAGTGAGGTTTTGTGCACTGGCTCTTTAAAAGACCAATCTCCCTTCTCACCAGTGTGGGTGGAAGCCCCACTGGTTGTCACAGCCAGATACTGTGTGGGCTCAGATTCTTGGCTCTGGTGCTATGGGTTAGGGAGCCTGGTGTGGGGCTGAGGCCCCTTGCTCTTCCAGGGGACCTCTTCAGCTGAGATATCCCTCTGGACTCTTTTTTAAAATATATAATAGGTTTTTATTGGTTTTAGAGAGGAAGAGAGAGGGGGAGAGAGAGAAATATCAATGATGAGAGAGAATCATTGATCAGCTGCCTCCTGCACAACCCCACTAGGGATTGAGCCCCCAACCCAGGCATGTTCGCTTGACCAGAATCGAACCCAGGACCCTTCAGTCTGCAGGCTGTTGCTCTATTCACTGACCCAACCTGGCTAGGGCGTCCCTCTGGATTCTTACTCCCCACCCCCACCCTCATGTGGGTGTGGAGCCAGCCCTTTTCACATCTCTGATCTTCCTACCAGTCTCCATGTGGGTTCCTCTGTATATCCTGAGTTATAAGACTTCTGTTCATAAAGGAAGAGAAAGAATAAAGAAAATAAAAACCTTGGGAATATTATAAAAAGACTGTTCAGTTAGTCTTTAGATGGTTATTCAGGTTGATTGTTCCAACTTTAGTTGCAACTCTGTTATTGATATGGTCTAGGGAGGAGGTCAATGTAACTTCCATCTACTTCATTGCCACCTTGCTCTGAACTCTGACTTCTTTCTTTATTTCAGGGCTGGTTCAAACACAGAGTTAGGGCTCCACCTCCAGACTTCCCGATTCAGTAAGTCTAGGGCCTGTATTTCTAAAGTTCCTGGGTGGTGCAGATGCTTCCACTAGGGGGCCACGCTTTGAGAACTATTGTTTTATCTAGTAATAATGACCGTTCTCTCCTTGAAATATACTGCTATTTTTTGCTTCTACACCGTATATTTTCCTAGCTCTCCTTCCTCTGTGAACATTCTTTCTTGGTCTCCCTTGTGGGGTTTCTTTTCCTTACCGTCTTCAGCAGGTCCCATTGACTCAGTCCTAAAGGGTTTGCCTGATTGCCGGTTAGATTTGTAGTTTGTGACTCCAAGTGCACTTATAAATAAGAGAAAGTAAACCATATATTTTCCTAGCTCTCCTTCCTCTGTGAACATTCTTTCTTGGTCTCCCTTGTGGGGTTTCTTTTCCTTACCGTCTTCAGCAGGTCCCATTGACTCAGTCCGTTTGGTTTGCCTGATTGCCAGTTAGACTTGCAGTTTGTGACTGCAAGTGCACTTATAAATAAGAGAAAGTAAACCACTAGCTATTTTGTTCCTTAAATCTTGGAACATGTATCTGATTACTTATTTATGAAATAAGTAATCAAAGGAATCAAACTA